AAAGTACTAGGAGTTGCTAGCTTTCAAATGGGAGCTATTGTTTCATACACTGAATGTGAATGTGGAGAGGAGCTATGGTTTTTTATCTGACAGTACTGAGACATACATGCTAGGTGATTTGCACCCAAGAGAAATTAAATGTTTAACACTCTTAAGAGTCTGAAAGTAAAATTTTATGGAGTAAAAACAGCGTTATGATCCAGTTTTAAGGTATCTCAGCAATGCTGGCCTGGGTAGATGATCTGTGATTTCTGCAGCTTGATCATGCTCATGTAAAAAGTCTTCAATGCATGTGTGTTTCAGAAGAACTGCAGCTCTGTGCGCTAAAGGAAACTTTATACCACTGAAAGAGCCCTCATGAACTCCAGCGGCGAAAAATGCCATGCCTCTGACATCCTGTGCAATGCTGGCCACATGCCAATCAGTTGCTTACTTGAGAGGGCTTATTGGCATGTGACCAATGGTTTACTGGGGCTCTCCCTAGCTCGATTTTTCTCCAAAAAAGAGAGCAATCAGTCTGAATATATGAAAATTTATAGTCTTGAAATGACCCACGCTCTGCACCACAGTCAGCGGGAGACCTTTGACTTGTTTAGCATTTAAAGAATATTAAGAGAAGCTTTTTTAAATACTTAAATTGCCACTTGACGTCTTGCTTGATGTAACTTGAGTGTCAACAGCAGTAAGAATATCAGCTAATGCTGCCTCTAAAGTACAGCTGACACATTAGCAAAGTTCACTAGTGGTGGAGAGGAAATTACTGGAGAAGCTCTAAATTGCAGATTAACCATAGAAAGTCAGCGGTGCTTTCCAGGAGAGGCCAAAGGGGGCCAGCTGCCATGGAGGGATCACCACCCCACCTGCTGCAGCTTTAGAGGAACCCATGTCCATTCCACTCCAGGAAAAGATTTCAGCAGTGCCTACCCAGAGAACAGTTGGGTACTTGTGTCCTCTCTGCAGCCCCTTGAAGCTGCTGCAAGGAATGGAAAAGAGATTTCAGCAGGCTGGTCAGCTCAATTTCTTGACAGAGTTTCTGGACAGAGTTTACTCGCAGAGGGAACACTTCTCTTACACACACTGAAAAATAGTGGCAGCCTGCCTGCTTCTAGTGATTTGCTGAAATGCTGATTTTACACAGGTAACTCCCACACATGTCAACAGGAGTTGATTTAGGCAGTTAAGCCTTACAATCAATCTAGGATTTTATTTCCTTATCACTATCCTGGTGACTGAGAGAAGCCTCAGATATCTGCACTGATACACACATGCTTCCCTGCCTCACCATCCCTGTGACAAATGTCTCACCCCTTCCCAGCTGCTAAATCTAAGAAGAGTAGTGACTTGGCGCTTGCAGAAATCCAGTTCTCCAACTGCCTGTTTACTTCAAGCTTCCCTCCTGTTGCTGAGGCCTTTCCGTAGCACTCAAGGGAAGCACTGTCATCTGCATAACCCTCCCACAAACCCTGGATAAAGTTGTCCATCTGCCTACTCCCAGCTGCTGTTTACTTCTTATCCCCAACAAGGACATATGCCCCAACTGGCCATTGCTCCCCTATGCACATTTCCAGCTCGCAGAATGCTTTCCTACTCCAGACATGGGAGCTGATCTGCTTTTAGCTGTCAACATTTCTGCAAACACCACTTGTCCTGTCACCAGCCTCTGGCATGCTGGCTTTCCTGGGCTCAGGCAGTGGGGGACAACAAAGCATTTCCAGTATTTTGAATTGTTAAAGCCATTTCTAAAGGCCAAGTTTTCAGTGCCGAGAAAAAATGAGTCCCTAGTGCAGGTAAGCTGTGCCTAAAATAATATGATGATGCAAGTGAAGTAATTTTACAAAGGGGGGATTCAAAAGCAGTGATTCTGAGACACCACAGCATTCATCTGCAAAAAGCAAAATCTTTACAATAAAAAAGAGTCTTTACCCCCTTTTTATATTGGTCAAGGCCCTATTGTAAACATAGGGGTATTGGCATAAAAGACCTTTTACCAATATAGCCTGGGGAAACAGCATAAGCTGTGCTGACAAAAGAACCCTTGCCACCATGGGCGACTGCTGCCTTCTGAGTCTGGCAGGGCACCTGCAGATGCCAGTGGTGGCATTGGTGGTGGGGGTGGAGCTGGCAAACACCTGCAGCTGCTGCTGGTGGCACTGGTGGCAGGGACAACCCTGTCAGGCCCTCCCCGTGCCTCCTGTACCACTATAAACTGCATCTCCACTATTCCTATAACACCAATCTTTCTAGTGCAGACTAGGCTTACAAGTTATTTGCAATTTGGAGTCTCTAAGGTCTGTTTAACTTCACTGTGACCAGGGCCCATGTTCCCCTGGGCTGCATGTATGCTGTGCGGGAGGGCCCCTGAGAGTCCTCTCTGCTCCTGTGGGGGCAGCACTGGGAGCGCCTGGCCTCTTCCTGGGTGCTCCCCAATGCACAGCAGTGGGAGAGGTGACTGCAGGGCCCCATGAGCCACCAGCTGAGCAGCCCTGGTGTACCCAATTGCCTCAGTGGATTAGACATTATGTACCTCATTTTTAAAACCTACATTTAAAAAAAACCCTTGTGGGGGAAACCCATTGCTTATCTCATGCTTCCCCATCCCTTGGCTGCTAACTGTGGAATAGGCTTCAGTCAGTCCTCCCTTCAGACTGCTTTAGGGGAACAGGCTATGATATTACAGTGGAGGGACATGTTCAGAAGACAGGGGCAGATTAAATGCTTATGACAGGGGTGGGCAATTATTTGGGCCCAAGAGCTACTTAGGGAGTTTTGGTGAGCTGTCACAGGCTGGGTCAGCACTCCCCCCCACCTCACCAAAACTCCCTAAGTGGCTCTGTTCTGGTCTGTGCTGCGCTGGGTGCATGGGACGGGGCTGTGGGTATGCAGGGAGCAGCATCCAGAAGCAGGATGGACAGGTGGGGCCAGGATTGTGGGGCTGTGACAGCATGGGGCGAGGGCCCAGGGCAGAGCCACAATCTGCTCCCTGCAGGTCCCTGCAATGAGCACCGGTTCCACAGGGGTGTGCAAGGAGTGGATTGTGGCTCTGCCCTGAGCTTCAGCCCTGTGCTGTCATTGCCCCACTATCCCAGGGTCTCCATGGAGACTGGCCCAGGCCCTGCATAGGCAGGGCACGCTCAGCTGGGCAAATGGGACAGGACTGCGGACAGACGGCAAGCAGCGTCCATGAGCAGGATGGATGGGCAGGGCCAGGTTCAGGGCTGGGACTGGGATCACAGAGCTGTGACAGTGTGGGGCCAGGGTCTGGGGCAGAGCTGCGATCTGCTCCCCACATGCACCTGCCTGTGGAACCAGTGCCCATTGCAGGGATGCGTGGGCAGTAGATCATGGCTCTGCCCCAGGCCCCAGCCCCATGATCCTCATCCCAGCCCTGGTTCTGCCCCCACCCACCCATCCCAGTCCTGGAGGCTGCTCCCTGCCTGCCCACAGTCCCATCCCATCTGCCCAGTCAAGTGTGCCCTGCCTGTGTGGGTACACGCTGCTGTCCATGGAGACCCTGCCTGCACACTCTGTCCAGTGCCCCTGGCAGTGGGTGTGGGGTAGATAGACCAGGGTGCCTGGGCAGTCTGTCTGCGGGTGGCAACACCAGCAGCAGCAGCAGCAGCTGGAAGGAGCCACTGCTGCAGGGATGCTGGGAAGCAAGCCTAGCTGTCATGTCACCTCAGCCCTGCTGGCAGGTAGGGGTGCACTGATAGATTTTTGGGGCCGATACAGATAGCCAATAGTTAAGGAGGTATATTGGCTGATACCAATCTGATTTCTGATACAGCTGCCTCCAGCTGGTAAGTCCAGTGTGGTGAAAGGGGAGTGGGGAGGGAAGGGGCGCAGGTGGGGCAGATAAGTGCCCCCCACAGTGAGGAAGGGGGCAGGGGCTGGTGCTGCCCAGGCAGGGTGGTGGGGGGAGGGGGGCCAGAGCCGTGGCTCATCGAGGGAGGTGGCTCCCACCACTGCTCACAACCCCAGGAGGGGGTAGGTAGTGCTGGGAGGACCCCAAATTTTGCACCCCAAATTTTGCCACTGCTCCGCTCCCAGCCCTGCCACTGCCAGCTGCAGCCCCGGCTCAACACCCTGCCTCCACCCATAGGCTGGGAAAAGTCGGGGCTGCGCCGGGCAGCTGATGGTGGCGGCGCTGGGAGCAGAGTGGCAGTGAAATTTGACATGGATGCAGCATCCTCCCAGAGCTGCTGGCACCCGCTCCGAGCCCAGCTCCTAACGAGAAGAGCCCCATGTAGCCCCTGCTTCAGCTCGCCCTGTGCAGATCTGGGGGGCACATGCCCCCCCCCAGGGTGCAAGCAGCAGCAGGAGCTGCCTTCCCCCCTCTCCACCCCAATATAGCCAGTTTTCGTTATATTGGTACCGGTCCAATATTGGACTGATGTATCGGTGCACCTCTACTGGCAGGACCAGCCGCACATGTCATAGTCTAAACTGCCCCCCACGCCTGGCCTGGGAGGGGCCAAGGCACCCATTGTGGCCTGGATGAAGTCCCTTGGCAGGCCAGATCTGGTTCCCAGGATGTATTTTGCCCACCCCTGCCTTAGCTGCTAATTGTGGAAGAGGCCTCGGTCAGTCTGCCCTTCAGACTGCTTCTGGGGAACAGGCTGTGATATTACAGAGGAGGGGAAGGTTCAGGACAGAGGCAGAAGAAATGCTACCCTCAACACTGCTTTGGAGAGGATGGACTTTTGTTTTCAGGAAGCAAAAATTCTGGGTGAAAATCAATAAAGTGAGATGGAACCCACAGGTGAAGGCCTGGTGACAGTCCACAAAGCAAGTGTTGATTTGGCTGACTATCAGCCTCAAGACCATTACTACTTCCAGCTGGGATAGTGGGAGGTGTTGGGATAAAAGGCAGTTCTTTAATAAGTACTGTTGAGGGTTCTTTTTGGCTAAACACTGTATGTAAAAATTCTTGCAGGATTCTTTCAAAACAGCAAGAATATTTACCTGCGAGTAATAATTGAAAAAAACACAACTCCAACCTCCTCTGAAACTGACTGTTGTGTTTACTTCTTGTATTTTTAGGAGGCATTCATTTTCAGCAGAAATTACCCTTTTTATGGGCTTGCTGCCAATGCAAAATCAAACTGCTACAAGTCACAAGGATTCTCATAAAATAAGTGAAATAAGAATATTTGCTTTTGCTGTGAACCAATATAATTAAAGCCATATTTTACAAGCAGTCAGGCATTCACTTAACATTTTTAAGCCGATGTGCTGTGTCCAAAAGAACAATCCAAGAGGGGAAGAAGTCAACTATTAAAAAAGAATTACAAAGGGCATATATGTGCAGGTGCTTAGGCATTGTAAGATTCTTGTGATAGAGGAAAAAGCCAGGAGAAAAAAAAAGTCATTATTCTTAACTCCTTATATAAAAGGCAACAACTGTCATGGGGCATGCATACCGTCCTCATTTCACACAAACCTGTGAGATAAAAATCTCATCTCATGGGGAAAAAAAATCAGGTTTGAGAAAGTTCTGAGGTTTTACTCTCACCCTTATCTCTGCCTTTCTTATAAACAACTTCAGCACTCTCACTATTTGATGCACTTAACTGCGTTGTTGACCAATGTTGTTTTCTGGCACTATTATGTTCTACATAATACCCTAGGTTTGTTGGATGCAGACTATAGCACAGAAGCAAAGCAATACACAGAGATAATTAACTTTGTGATTTTCCTGAGAGATAAATATCATGGAGGCAAAAGCACTAGCAAAATAAAAGATACAGTAGGCTTCAATTTCCATTAAGGTGTTTAGAGAAACCTCAGTTAACTGTCTTTGTTTCTTTCTAGTTCAGTGTAGCAATGAGGCTGTTGTCATCCAGGAGATATCTGCATGATGAACGTTCATCTACAGAACACCTGACTTGATGGCATGACATACTGCCAGAGCAGCACAGGTAGATGCATGGCCCCATCAGCATGTGGTAATCCAGCTTCTTCCACTGTCTGTGGCTATTGTTTAGGCATGGTGAAGTCCCAAGCTGTCTCCTGAGCGCATTTCCACATTGCCCTCATGAGTCGTGTAAATCCCATGTCTTTGGGCTTCTCTAAGCCTCTCATAAGTCGCTGCTTCATAATGGCGACAAACTCCTTGTTACTCAACTCTCCATTTCCTAAGAGAAGAAAAAGAAAAATTATTAAGAGTACAAAAATAAGAAGCCTAAAAATATTTGGAGCCAAAAGCTTGATTTCCTTCAGAGAAAGGTATCAAAGTGGCTCATGTGTTCTTCAGTCTCCTGAAAGAACAAATGTTGGCAATGTACAAACTTAGTTGTATTTGTAGCTAAAATGTTTTAACTAAATGGACATTTCAGAGCTGGCAACCATTGCATTTCTGGTGTCACAATAGCACTTCTTTTCCAACATGATGGTGAGTGCCAGGAGAGGGCTCCGACACTGTATCTTAAATTAATTTAGTATATAATTTGGAGTTTATAAATTATGAGCTATGTTTTTCTTATAGTAATCTCTCAGGACAACATGATGAGCAAAATAGCAGATTTAAAAAAAATATTCTCTCTCTTGCTGATTACAATGTCATATCCTTCCCAGGCGAGCCCCAATTATTAACTAAAATAATTCCTGGTTTTAAAAATGTTTACTTTGTGGTTTATTCGAATAAGAGCCTTAGAGATGCAACATTCACCAACCAAATACATGGCAGAAGGAGCTGTCATAGTTTCAATGACAGATTCAACAACTTTGTTTCCAAAGGTCTGAGTTTTCTTCATAACAACAGAAATCTTGCATTTAATTTGGGTGTGTGGGAAACTCAGATGGCAAAACCCCTGACACTGGAAAGTCGCCCATCTGCGATCATGTATAATTCAGCAGAGTTTTCATATACCTATGCTAAGCAGCATATTACATCCAGCAACACATTAACAGGACCTTGAAATGTTTAAAATAGATATAGTTCATCTACTTGTCTACAGAACTAGCTGGAGCTTGAATTTTCTGTTTCAGGAAAAAATTCAGAAGTTATCTGTTTGCTCCAGTTCAAACTGGAGTAAACAGTTGTTTCAAAACTTCATGTGAAACAAATTCCAAACAAAAATGCAATTTTGAGACAACTGGTTTAGGAAAACAATAGCAGCTTTTACATGACCACTGCTAGCAATACAAGCTGCTGGGAAATAATGTACAATAAACAAATGAAAACCAGATAAAATTAAAACATTTTCCAAAGTTAGAATTTTTATTTCAATGTTATTTCTGATTTTTCCCCTCACAGGAATTTGTCAAAATCAATGTGAAAAAATAATAGTTTAGTCAAAACACCTTTTTCTAATGAAAAAAAATCTGTTTGGACAGAAGTTTTCTGAACAGCTGTATTTGTTCAGTTCCAGTTGCTGTGCAAAGATATATATTGATTTCATTCATGATGCCATGTTATAGAGTTTGGATTAATTTAGCACAAAGAAATCTAGGGTCCTGTCTGAAATCCAATCTTATCCTGCAGTTATATTTTTCATACAGGATTGACATTTGAGGTGTTAAGATAGAAAAGTTGAACAGATGAGAAATAAAATTTACAAAGATGGAAAAGTAGTTAAAGGAAAGACACTAAAAAAAAAGTACTCAATGTTAGATGTCTAGAATAAACTCAGAAGCATGAGTCTGAGTTGACTGTGAACATGGATATTTCTTGGGGAGGCTTCACTCAAGTAATTTAAAAGTTGGATGCTTTTTAAATTTATATTTATATTATTTTTAAATATATGTATGCAAAGCCAAATGTTGCCAAGTTTTATTCCAATGTTAGTTTTCACGATAAATTATAGTCCCTTGGATTTATGCTGACAGACTCTGAAAGGATGGTTGCAAACCTGAGTCAGACACACAACATGATGCATTGCTTTTTTGTTTCAATGTGAATTGGTTGGTATACAGTCCTTGAAATCCCTATCTAGCTTCCAGGTAATTTTGTAGGCTGATGTTTGTTTCCGCAGGACCTCTTGATAAAGAAAAAAAAACGGATTCTTGACAGGTCTATCCTCGGAGCTTATTCCCTCATCCTTACCAATCATTTAAAAAGCAAGCTGTCTCATCCTAATTGTGTCTTCACTGTAGAGGCTTTTCCACACTCGCTCAGTACAAAAACCAAGAAATACTCAAAGGACAGCAAAGATTGATGGCCATCCTGATTTAAAAAGCTCTAATCTAAATAATAATAATACCATTAAAGGTATTCAACAACCTTGCTTTGTTCTATTGATACACAGAGCAAACGACCCTGGTACCATTCCATCAGGGAAGCTGTTACTCGGATTGGTTTAAGGGGATTTTCAAACTGAGAGAAGTTTGAAAATATAACTCCTTCTGCAACTTTTTTACTTCATGGAAAAGTAACGAACTCCCTTCCCCCCACCACAGGATTGTTTCTAAAAATAGGGTCTTGATGCTATATTTATTTTTTGATCCTTGTGTAAACTTGACGCAATCTTCCCCCCCCCATCTGTAAGCCACTTATTTCAGCATCATTAAACTTTAACTTCCATGTCATTTCACAGGAAAGCAAACCAAACTACTTCCAATAGGCTGCAACTGTAAACCTCATAAAACTGGGATCGTGTCCTTGCTTCTGCACTCCCTCCCTCACACCCAAGTCACCTGTTTACCATCCAAGCTAGCTGTCTGTAAGAAACATCAGCAGCTATATTTATTCTTCAGACAATGAGCCAGTTAAATTGCATAATGTTTTCCAGATCAAAACAGGCAGGTACTAGGAACCACATTAGTTACATGTTTAATAAATTAGTACTTTTTGATCTGGGTGGGTTTTTTTGGACTGCTTTCAATTGCAAATGTGGGCAAAGAAATTCCAGTGAAGTATCAGGGGGAAAATGAAATTCCTTACAACTCTGCAAATTTCTTATACCTATCTAGAAATGTCTGCATATATGGGCCAAGTGAAAAATAGAGATCTGTGTTTACTTTTTTTTTGCTAGAATCCTATATATGCAGAGAGATTTCCCTGAGTTTAGGAGTATTTTCCCCACAAGGTATGACATCAAAATATTTCTCAGATTTTTCTGGGAATATCCAGATTGAGTAGGTTTGGATACATGCCAATTTACACTAATCTCAGATCCTAACATGTGGCTTTAGGACTGAATCAGAAATATCTGTTTAACCACGGAAAAGAAGCAATTCAAATTTCCTTCAAAAGTTAAAAAATGTGTGAAGAAGCTGAAGTGAGGAGAAGGAGAGGGAAGGGGCTGCAAATTATACAGTAATTTGAAAGATGGACATTTTGTTTATTGACTGTTCTTCCAGGTCCTACTCTTGAGCTGCATTGTAGCCATCATCCTAGATGGCTGAAAACTCTTTTTTAAATCCTGTAATTTTTTTTGTTAATCAACCTGAGACTGTGACATGATGAGTTTGCTACCCTGAAGTGCTTCTAGCCTCTGCATAAGCAGGCTTTTGGGATTAACTTTCAGGCTTCCTGTATGGCAATGCACATTCCTGTCATTAATTAGCTAATGTTTGTATAGAGCTTTGAAAATGCAAATGCTAAATGTTTTTATTACCAACACTAGACCATAATTGCTAGTTTTGTTAAATGACTATTGTTTCTGCAAAAAGAAGGTAAGCTGCTTTTTCTCTGCAGAAAGCTGTCCATCCAGAAATCTGACATGAAAAAGTCTCTCACACAATAAACACTGTTGAACTAGATGTTTGAAAACCTTCAAGGAGCACTGTGCACCATCACTGAACCCCTCTGGAAAGATGCATACATTTAACAGACCACACTGTGATGGACTGTGAAAGGAACAATGAATACCACCATGAAATGGATAATTGTGCCAGGAGAGGCCAGCCTGGAGAGGAGAAATGAAAATCACAGCAGAGATAAAAAAAACCCAAACCAACAACCCCCAAAATCCAGTTAGGCTAAGTGAAAAGAATCTCCAAATTTTAATCATTTTGACTGCCTCTGGTTACCAATATTACCTTTAGTATCTCTCTGCTTTATCAGGTGCAAAATGGTGATTATTATTCTGTTGCTGCCAAGTCTGTTGAACATAAGCCAACATATGGCTTCTAAACATTTCTGAAATGAACACAGAGCAGTACGTAGCTTGTTTCTTTGAGGGTTTTTAAAAATATTTATAAATTACGCAACATATTGGGAAAACGATTAGGGGTGACAATAAGTTAAAAAAGAAACTCACTCACCATCACAGTCGAAGAGAGCAAACACCACATCACACACGTGGTTGGAAAGCTCCACTTTTGCCACTGTCCTGGCTACCTGCTGCATAGTGACTGAAACAAAATAAGGACACAAAATTAACAGATTGCAGCAATCAGAATTCATCGTTTTCCTTTTGTCTCTTTCACGGGAAACACTGACAAAAAGCTACATTTCAAAGAGGATAGAAATGAAGTATTCAACTTGTTCAAGTCCCTCCTTGACATTAGACTCCTCCACAAAAGACCTTTGTTTCATTACCAGACACTAGGGTTGATTGCTGTATGGTTGCTGACGAGCATCCAAGTGTTATTTTGTTATTAGAATAAAAGCATTAACACACTTAACTCCCCCAAATTCCCGTTTCTTGTTTGCAAAGTCTACATAAGATGAACTGTGGATTTTTTTTCAAGCTTTTTGCTCCTTAAAAATCAGATTAAAGTGTCAGAACTGAAGCAAGCACCAGACATGTAATTATCGACTTCCCCTGCTTACTGACTCCCAAATGCAGGCATTATTGATACGGTGGCTGTTTTTTCTGGTGTTGCAAAGACGACAGTCCAAAAATGATTTCACAGTGGATTCTGCAAGCTTAAAATAAATCATTCTTCCTACTAGGCATTTCAGAGCCAACACAAACTCATAAGCAAATCCCAATATCTGGGGAAATAACATCCTGCATCCTCTGAACAGGCTCTGCAGAGATTGCAAAATCTTATGTTTGCAATACACAGTAGTGATAACAAGAGGCACAGTGGACTGTGTATGTCTCAAGACTTTCAGCTAAGACCACAAGTAAAGAAGCATTTTGTGATTTCATCAATTCTGCAGCAGACAGTCATTCATGTCAAACTGTCATGTAGTTCACGGTTGCTTCCTGATTATAAAACTCAGTGGCGTAGCCCAGGGATGACCAAGATTTGGCCTGAAGAGCCATGCCATCCAGACCACAGGGCTCACCATGGGTCCAAACATTTGGAAACATGGTGAGCTGTGCAGTGTTAATTGTTGTGGTTCCCAGAGCTGCAGCAATTAACACCGCCACTGCTTGCCCTGCATCTAAGTTTCCAGACCCTGGGGGCTGAATCTGGAAGAGTCATGTCATTGGGCCTAAACGGCTGTCCAGGGGCTGGAAATCTGGGGGTGGGTGAAACAGCAGGTATCCCAGCTCTGGGAGTCTCAGCAATTAATATTGCTGCTGCCAAATTCCAGACCCACCGGCCAGGTGATGCTGCTCTACACTCTGGCTCCCGTCTGCAGACTTGCCCCACACCAGTTGAGGAGGACACCACTGGACTAGCTAATACGCATTCACATTGGTAAAGTCCAACTCCCTCTCTTTATTCTCTGTTTTGGAGTTGATAATTATGTGAAGAGGATGAAGTAGGAAGGCTTAAGGTCATGGTTCTTTGGTTTGTACTGAAATTGTTCTGCTGGCTGTTTTGTTTTATAAGCCTAATAAAATTGTAAAGATATAAAGAAAGGTCCAGAATTGAGTTAGTAGCAATTGAGGCTAAGGAGGAAGAACAATGAAATTATTTTCTTCCATTTATATTAAAAATGATGGGTTTTACTATAATGTTAGTGTATTTTAGTTGGTCTTTATCTTATACAGAATCTCATGCTCTATAAACACATTTGTTACGGTTAGAGAAACTGAAAGCATGCTCTAGTATTATGCTACCATTTTTTTATTATTTTGTTCAGGAAGTACCTTTAGCCACATTACTTGAATGTCTACTTTTTACTGCAATAAAAGGTAATGAAATGCAGCCTACCCTGTGTTTTGAGATATACGGATAGTGGTATAAGAGACGTGTCAATAATAATTTGCTTCTTTTATATAAAACAATAATTGTAAGTTCAGTGCATGATTGAGGTGGTCAAGTTAGTAAGAAACTAGCATAACTGCCTCACTGCACCAGACAGAGTCTGATCTTATGTTACAATTGATTTGATAAAGTAGCAGACGAGCCTACACAGAGATGGGTGTCTAGCACCAAAACACCAAAATGAAAGCTTCAGAGCAGGGCTTCCCAACCTTTTCCTCAGCATAACTCCATTTAAACATTGGAAATTTTTTGCAATCCCAAAATGATGCAGACAAAATCAACAAGGAATGATTCATCAAATTTCCGCTTTCATGTCTTGCATTCGTGTAAAACATATTTCAGTCAACCAGTATCGATACACTGATTTTATGTCAGCTTCCCGTAACATACAAGTGCCTCGCGTTGGAGCTGCAACCGTCTTGTGTGGACAAATAACTGCCACGTGGAGGAGCTACATACTTACAAACAGGAAACGTATTCATCATAATCAGTCAAGACTGACAAGTGTCTTTGCAACCCCATTTTTTATCGTTGCAACCTCAAATGGGTTTGCAAGGTTGGGAACCACTGCTTTAGAGACTCTCAAGCTTCAGCTGTTTCTCATGTGAATATATGCAGATAGTCATTTGTTAACCCAAACAGCTAAAAACTTGTCCTTATATTTCTCCAAAAGGAGGAAGAGAAAGAGGAGACTTCAAAAAGGTTAAAATATGAAGAAAGAAAATTTTGTTTTTTAGCAGGTGGGATTAAACAGTGATTGGGACACATATTCCATCAAAATTATTGTTTTCAATACGATGTCCAAAATAAGGCAGTTAAGCTTTTGTACTCTTAATAGTAAGTGGAAAACAGTAAATTATCTCTTCCATTTGTAGTAACTCACTGAAAAACACTGTGAAATCACACAAAACTGAAACTACCCCTGAAGTGTGTGTGACAGCAGCAAACAGTGTTTATAATAATGCTGTATCAATTTAGCAGTAGACTTCTGACAGAGACAGAATTTACCCTGTACAGCTTACTTGCAGGGAGCCCAGAAATATAATAAATTGAATGGCAGGCAGTGTAGTTCAGATAAGGGAAGGAAAGGAGAGTGGAGCAGATATTAGCAGAAGAATTCTTTCTGAAGTGCCTTTTTATAAACTTAATAATAATGATAGGAGGACAACTCACATTTTCACAGTTCTATGATCTGTGGTAGGCTTCTCAGGAAGACAAAAATGAAAAGTTTCCAACAGGCTAATTTTTAATGGTAAAATCAGAACCTGGTGGGCAAGCAGGAAAAACCAGCAATTCTATGGAGACTGAGAAATAGGATCAACCTCAGAAGGAAACGCAAACTGGCAGAAGACAGACCCATTGAGTGAATCCCACTGTCTTCATCCCCTCTGTGGCTCATTTCCTGTGATCTTGTCCCATATGTGTGTCTTTCATAAATTATAAATATTGGGATTAATTATAAAAATGGCTGCTCACATTCAGACTAATAAGAATTCTCAATTTAAAAAGCATTTGTAGTAAGAGTTGATGTGTTTCTGAGATTCTGATGAGATGCTAGTAAATGCTTGTAGGTCCTTTTTACCTAGTTTCTCTTTCATTCCAAAATCAAACTCTCTCCATTTTTGTATTCATCTCTCATTAATATCCACTTACCCCTACACTAAGGGTGACACCTGCTATGGCAGCAGGCAGAAATACTGCATCATGGTAGGTTTCACCATGGTAAAAGCCCTGTAGTACCAACCATTATCTATCCCCTTTGATTCCAGTTCAGTGGTCCAAAGCTGACAAATGTCTTCCCTCTGGTTAATGATCTGGAGAATGGCTCCTGCTCTTGGCAGTGAGAAGAGCCAACTTGTCATTCAACAGGATGGATGTTCCTGACCTGACCGCCAGTGCCAAAAACCAAAAAGCAGCCCTTGAAAATAAGTCTGTTATCCACTGACCCACCACACCACCATCAGCCGTTTTCAGAATGCTCACGCCTTGTTTCTGGGTGAGACTGCAAAACTGAATCTGACAATACTTCTATGATAACACTGATGAAGCAATGACATAATAGGTAGACTATATTTAAGGAACACTGAGTTTTTATCTTACCATATAAAATATTTTCTCTCTCTTCTATTCTATTCAAGAGAAAACTAAAATTAGATAGCATGTATTAAAACTCTGGTGGCAGGCACACATTTTACTATAACTATTCCTTTCAAGTCTGTAGATTTGCCCCATATATATTACTACTATAGTTCTTTTCTAGAAATCACTCTATTGCTCTATATTGCAGAAGTAACCTACATACAATATGGTATGGCTGGTGTCTCCAAGACCTCTTTGGCCTTGGAGATCAGGATTTGTATGGGGGTGGAAAGGCTTGAAAGAGGATTGATGCTTATGTAGTTGCTTTAGAAAGCTGGTTCAATTTTGTTAAATAGCTCTGAGTCAGTCCCTTGCCAACTGAACAGCAGGGAAACCTCATACGTAAATTACGCCCACACCTAGCTGTATTATAAATTACACTGCAATCGCACACAGAAAAGGAAGCAGGGAGAGCCCAAATGCAAAGGAAAAACAAGAATGCCTATTTATAAACCTTCAATGCTTTAAGCTACAAAATGATCAACGCAGGCGCATGCATATGCACACACACACACACTCTTCTTTTGGTCCCTCTAACCGTTGTTTCTTTAAAACATAAGTTAGAAGACAAGGCATTCAAACTGCTGAACTGTAGTTTAAGCTAATGGGTCCAATATTTTGTCCTATAAAAAGCTCTCTGCAGCAATCTTTAAGATTTAACCTGCTCACACTAGCATCAAATATACATGAATCATAATTAAATTACAGTGGCTGAGGTAATTTCCCCCCCTATTTTGAGAGACCCACAGGCAATTAATTCCATATTTCCTGCAAAAAACCTTTAGGTCTCCAGTACTGTGGGGCTATCCAGGTTTCCCCTTCTGATGTAGTTCAACATGGACAAGTTCAACATCTGTTAGGTCAAAAGAGTAAGGAGGCAGATAAAGTTTCATTACTCCTTATATTCTGATCCTCCTGTAAACCATCTCTGCAGAGCCTGAAACAATATTGTTGATGGCTGTGCTGCTGCCTAATGAATCTTGGACCCAGCTGACACGCAACAGATGGATGAACACACCTCTACATAATGTTGTTGATGATCCTCTATTCATAGTTAATCACCTGACACACTTCCTCCCTTCCTTAGTGGATAGCTTTTGTGG